TCGGAAGAGATGCCATCCAGGACTTTCATAGCTAGGGAGAAGTCAATATCTGGCTTCAAAGCTTCTCTCATTAAGGACTAATGCATCTCATGACTTGAAGTTGAAGCCAATGCTCATTTACAATTCCAAAAATTCTAGGGCCCTTAAGAATTATGCTTAATCTACTCTGCTTGTATTGTATCAATGGAACAATGAAGCCTGGATGAGAGTGCATCTGTCTGCAACATGGTTTACTGAATATTTTAAAGCCCACTGTTGGGACCTACTGCTCAGAAAAAAAAAAGATTTCTTTCAAAATGGGACTATTCACTAACAGTGCACCTTGTCACTCTGATGAAGAGCTCTGATGAAGATATACAAGATTAGTGTTGTTCTCATGCCTGCTAACACAACATCCACTCTGCAATCCATGGATCAAGGAGTAATTTTGCCTTTCAAGTCTTCTTATTTAAGAAATACATTTCATAAGGCTATAGCTGTCATAGGTAGTGATTCCTCTGATGGATCTGAGCAAAGTCAGTTAAAAACCTGTAAAGAATTCACCATTCTAGACGCCATTAAGAACATCTGTGATTCATGGGAAAAGGTCAAAACATCAACATAAACAGAAGTTTCAAAGAAGTTGATTCCAACCCTCATGGATGACTTTGAGGGATTCAAGACTTCAGAGGAGGAAGTAACTGCACATGTAGTGGAAACAGCAAGAGAACTAGAATTAGAAGTGGATCCTGATGATATGACTGAATTCCTGTAATCTCATGATAAAATATTAACAGATGAGGAGCTGCTTCTTATGGATAAGCAAAGGAAGTGGTCTTGAGATGGAATCTACTCCTTGTGAAGACTGCTGAAGTGACAACAAAGTATTTAGAACACTACAAAAACTCAGTTGATAAAGCAGCAGTAGGTTTTGAGAGGATTAATTCCAGTTTTAATAGAAGTTCTACTGTGGGTAAAATGATATCAAACAGCACCACATGCTACAGAGAAATCATTCGTGAAAGAGTCTGTGTGGCAAACTTCACTGTCTTATTTTAAGAAATTGCTACAGCCACCCCAGCCTTCAGCAAACACCACCTCAATCAGTCAGCCGCCTTAAATATTGAGGCAAGACACTCCAACAGCAAAAAGATTATGACTCACTGAGGGCTTACATTTTAAGCAATAAAGTATTTTTTAATTAAGGTATGTACATTTTTTTAGACATATGCTATCGCACACTTAATAGATTACAATACAGTGTAAACGTAACTTTAATATGCACTGGGAAACCAAAAACATCATGTGACTCACCCTATTGCAATATTTGCTTTATTGCGGTAGTCTGAAATCGAACCTACAATATCTCTGAGGTATGCCTGTAGTTCCACATATGAACCACAGCATATATTATAAATAATTTATTATTGATAATAGTTGTATAATGTAGTTATAATGTCCCAGAGTTTGGCTACATCAAAATTAATTCAACCATTCTCCATAGTTGGATATTTAAGGTTGTTTCTTGATCTTTGACTTTACAAACACTGTAATAAATACCTCCAAATATTCTTTTATATAATAAGATTTTTATTTCACTCAGATTTCTGAGAGTGAAAGTGTTAAGTAAAATAGCAGGTGCACTTTAAATTTTAATAAACATTGCCAGATTCTTTCCTTCAAAGTTTATAATAATTATTGCACCACCTACAGTGTATGAGAATACCCTATTTTCCATGCCTCCAACGGCACTGGATATTGTCATTCTCTAATTTCTGCCAATCTAAGTAGCGAGAAATATCTTAGTTGTTTTCATTAGTAATTCCTGACTTTTAAGAAAGTAAAGAACCTTTTCATATGTTTACTGGTTATTTGCATTTCTTCTTCTTTGAGCTGTAAATTCCTAATCTTTCTCTCTCAAATGGATAGACAACTGGATTATCCTATAAATAATGATGGGACAATCTTTCACTACTAATTTACACTGTGTTAACTATAAACAGAGTCATTGTATTATACAACCCCAGGGGGCAATATTCAGGGGCTGGCTCTCCCATTTGTGGGTGGCAGGGTGGGGAAAAGGACAATCTCTGGTAGTGGTATGACTAGGGGCATTTTCAGTAGTGATGTTGGAGTCAGGACTTCTAGACTATGATGGGAAGAGTCTACAGTGGTGAGAGCAATTATACGCAAGTAGTATCTATAGGTTTGGATAATTTGTTTTCTTTGTTTTTGTTGGGGTGTTTTGTTTTGTTTTAAGGAGTTATTTCATATGCGAATACAGTGAATATACCTGGTACATCTATCTATCTTTGCACTAATACAGTGACCATCCTTATACCTTTACCTTAGTTGATAAGCACAATATTTCAATGACCTACACCTCCAGAATAATGAAATAATAAAAAACTAAATAAATTAAAATAATTGTGAATTGTCTGGATCTTAATTTTAACAGAATGCCTTCAATGTATCACTGTTAAATATAAAGGTAGCTACTGGTTTACCCTTATTTAGAAAAAGAAAAATCAAGGTTTTTTTTTAATCAAGCACAGATTTTGGAATCTTAAATTTCTTTTTTAGCTCCTATTGAGATAATCACATGGGTTTTATTCAACCTGTCCAAATAATGCTATACTGATATATTTCTTGATATTAAAATTGGACTTATTCATTAATGTTTTATTTGGGATTTTTCAAATTTAGGTTCCTGAGTGCAAAGTTAATACTTTTCTTCTCTTGTACTCTGTCAAGGTTTTGATACCAACTAAGTAGTACTAGCTTCATAAAACAGATAAATTATGCCTAATTACAGATATCACTTATTGAACATTTTTAACATTATTTTTACATGCTTCTCATGTAAATTACATGATAATTACATGATATCTCTTATCTCTATTTCAGAGATGGTGCAGCTAAGTCCTAGAGATTCAAAACTTCCCTAAGGTCACCCAATCACTGAATGACAGGGCTTGCATTTCAAAGTGGGGAACCACACTAATAACCACTATAATACCTGCCATATTTTTGTCAACGTTCTAGAAAAAGTAGTACTGGAATTAGGTGTTGTCTGAAAATTGGGGAAAGGGGGGCATTCATACATAAGTAAACTCATAATCATTTTTTAGAAACAATGCTTTGAAGATCAATTTCTTCCACAGTTATTCACTTTTCTACTTCTTGAGTCTATGGGAGAAAGTTCAATTTTTACATAAAACCATGTATTTATCAAAAGTCTGAACATTCTTAGCATCTACTTTTAAAGAATTAAGAAAGCATTCCAAAACAAGAGATTAAAGTTTACCTTGACTCTGAGCCAGATGAAGAATTTTTGATGTAACATATCTGGCAGTATCTGATTCTGTAGATTCAGTATTGATCTTCTCCAGCTGAGCCAGGAGTCCCACAATCCGAGAGTTATTGGTAAGGCTAAAAAAAGAATGTTACTTTAAATTAGGGCACATTCTACATCAATTGCAAATAAAATACTATAAAGATCAGTGTTAAAAACAAATCAAAACAAAATTCTACCCTTCTAAAAACATTAAGCATTTACACGTCACATTTCCTTACTCTCTGTTAGAGCTTAACATTGCTATGTTCTGTTGATTTACATGAGAAACATTCTATTTCAGGAAACCACAAAAGTGCATTCAACCCTATCCAGAAATCTTTTATCACATTCTGACAATTCACCTTTCCCCTCTCCAAGCAGACTTTTTATACATTCTATGCTTTCCTCAAAACTCTAACCATCCCTTCTAACCCACTCCATTCTCAGTTAGTACCCTGCTTCATAACTATTATAAAATCAAAAAAGAATACATTCATTTTCCCACAAACAGTTCCTTAAAACTCTCTGATTCTCTACCCACATTCTTTCTTCGTTATTCCCATTCATTATACATTTGCACATTTGGTGCTATTCTAGGTACTGCCAACAGTAAACAAAATGAACAAAAATTCCTGCCCCTCTGAGTGAACATTCTAATGGGACAAATTAAATACATAAATAATTATATAGTACGAAGGAGGTAGGAAGCACTATGGAGAAAAGCGGGTTGTGGGAATAAAAGATGCAAGGGTGCGGAAGGTTGCAATTTTAGACAGGGTGGTCAGGGAAAACTTTGAGAGGGTACCATTTAGGGAAAGGCCTGAAAGGAGTAAGAGAGTAAACGGTGCAGATACCCACAGAAAGAGCTGACCAGAAGAGAGTCACAATCATCAAAACATCAAGGCAGGACCATGCCTGCTGTATTCAATTTAGAGTGAGATGGCCACAGCAGACTTAAAGGAGAATAACGGTAAAAGATGAGGTCAGAGGTGAGGGTGGGGTAGAAGAGAGCACAATCGTTTAGAGCCTTATAGGCCACTGTAAAAACGTTGACTTCTTGCAACCAGGTGAGATGGGAAGTTTTTGAGGAGAAGAGTGATGTGATCTGACTTGTATTTATTTATTTATTTATTTATTTATTTATTTATTTATTTATTTATTTAATTTTTGGCTGCGTTGGATCTTCGTTGCTGCACACGGGCTTTTCTCTAGTTGCAGCGAGCGGGGGCCACTCTTTGTTGCGGTGCGCGGGCTTCTCATTGCGGCAGCTTCTCTTGTTGCGGAGCATGGGCTCTAGGCACGAGGGCTTCAGTAGTTGTGGCTCACAGGCTCTAGAGCACAGGCTCAGTAGTTGTGGCACACGGGCTTAGGTGCTCCACGGCATGTGGGATCTTCCCGGACCAGGGCTTGAACCCGTGTCCCCTACGTTGGCAGATGGATTCTCAACCACTGCACCACCAGGGAAGCCCTGACTTGCTTTTAAAAGGCTCTCTCTGGCCAGTATGTTGAGACTCAAAGAACAATCCCTCCACTGGCATGCCTGACCCCAGCCCTTCTTGCATTCCCAATGAATTTGTTCCTTCAATTAATCTTTCTCTGATTCATCATTTAGCTCTCCCTTTCAACTGGATCATACCCATTGGCACACAATATGATCCAGGAGCTCCCACTAGTTACCACCCCATTTCTCTGCTACTCCTTGAAGGAAATGTCTGTACTTGACCTCTCCATTTCCTCACATGTTGTTCACTTTTTCAAACTACTAGTTTGGCTTCTGCACTCTGAGGTCTCCCCAAAACCTCCTGTGGTCACTTCTTTCCTTGTCAGATTCAGAATCTCAGCCCTATCCCAATCAGCTCCTTCTTTCTCCACTTTCTCCCTTGGGCTTCAATGGCTCCATATTCTCCTGATTTTCTTCCTATCGCCACTTCTTTTAGATCGACTCTACTGGCTCCTCCTCCAACAAACCTCTAGATGCTGAGGACCCCCCACAGCTCCATCCCCAGCCCTCTTCCCTTCACTCTCTCCATTCTACTGCCCCAAGCAATCTCATCTAACCCCACAGCTGGGGGTTAGATTAAAACCGATATGCTGCCTGACTCCTACATTCAACTCCAGCCTCAACCTGCTCCTCTTCCAAATCTTAACTTTCCCAAACTCACATGAAACCATCAGTTGCTCAAGACAAAAATCTAGACTCCCTTTCCCATGCCCAGCTCAATATTAGCTCCATCTCTAAAACACCTCAAATCCATCCACTTCTCTCCATATCTTATTATTACTACCCAAGTCCAAGCAATCATCATTTCTCACTTGGCAATTACAGCATCCTAAATAATCTGCTTTCATTCTTGCTGCCCTCATACTGGGATCCAAACACACTGGCCTTCTACCAGTTCCTTGAATATAGCAAGTTTCTTCCCAATCTCAAGGTCTTTATATGTGCTGTCCTCTCAACCTAGAGGATAATTTCTGCCAGTTCTTCATATGGCTGGCTCCTTCTCATTTCAGGTTACAACCTGAAGATGTCCCCACTTCTCCACCAGCCCCTCAGCTTCCAATATTAAAATGTGTCCAATGATGTAAGCTTCACAAAGGTAAAGACCTTGCATGTCTTATTCTATATAAGTAGTATTTCGAACAGTGGCTAGCACAGAATAGGCAATACCCAGCTATATCCAGAGTGAACAAAACAATGAAGAAGGATATGGAAAACAGTATATTTATTCTTTTTTTAGATTAACAACTAAACTCAATGCTTTAAATTTGGAGGTACTTCATCTGAAAAGGTATCTGGAGGATGAAAAAAACATATTGAGCATACTATTTAAGAATGTAACTAAAATAAAATAATACAATATTTCCCAATTTTGCAAATAGCCAGCATTATATGGAAATGAAAATATATATCACTATGTATAAATCTCTAAATGAAAAAACAACTCAAAATATATACAGTATGATGTTGACATAAAGTTTTAAAATATACAAATTCAATACAATATATTCTTTAGTGTGTGTGTGTGTGTGTGTCTGTGTGTGTACATATATTTTCCCCTCCCCAACAATGGTATCATTAATATGTTTGTCTATCTTTATTTTCTATAAACTGGTAGTCGAATTTAAAGGCCTAATCTGATCAAGGCCTGATTTGGTGACATGAATTCTTTGTAAGTGGCACTGTAATCTTCCATAAGGAAGCAAACAGGGTCTGGTTATCTTACTTTTGTAATATAAGCAGTCACTGGTTACCACTGCCTAGATCCATTACTTTAGTAGGGGTTGAAAAGCACTGATACTCTACCATTTCCATTCCTTCTACTTCTTAACTAGGACAATTCCATAAAAAGAAAAATCCCTTATTTAATTATCCAGAGGTATAATTCATCAAATAAAAGCAAAATAAATGCTGGATTTTTAATTTATCTTTATTTACCAGTTTTCAGAAGAATGAGTTCATTTCCAAAAGTCCTCCCCAAGTAATCAATGAAGTATTTTGATTTCATGTATCAATATGTACTCACAGATTTAAACGCATATGATACATTTTATCCACTGTAGTTATTAATGCTCAAATTGCCCCACCTTTGATCAATGGGAGCCTCTTGGTGTGGGCTCCCAAGTCCTTTTGTTATGATCCTAGTCTTTGATAGCTTCCTGGATTTTGATATAACAAGACTGTTATTAGGCCAGCAGTTCTCTATATGCTCTACAAAACTGAGTACTTGAGGCTCTTTCAGAAAATCTGTGAGGTCAAAAACTATTTTCATAAAAATACTAAGACACTATTTACCTTTGACACAGTGTTGACATTTACATTGTTGATCTGAAGGCAATGGTGGAAAAAGTGCTGGCACATGATACAATCAAGACAGTGACACCAAATTGTAGTCACTGTGTGATAACCAGCAGTCACCATGTTCTTCACCAACATGCACTCACAGTTAAAAACAAAAATGCCAGTTTCACCTATGAGTATACATTTTTTAATATTCTGTGTGCACATAAGACATTTCAGCTGCACAATGAAATAGGATGGTTGAGGGAAAACAATCGTGTGGTTGTTTAAACTGCAAGCTGAACTAGTTACTTTTTCCATAGAACATCATTTTTACTTTAAAAAACAACTGACAATGATTATTTGCACTGGGGTATTCTGGAATACATTTTCTTGGCAATAAACAAAGTGGGTCTATCATTTCAAGGAAACAACTGATAGATTTGTTACCAATGATTAAATGTGAACTTTCAAGCAAAAATTAGAATCTTGGAAAACAAAGATCTACCATCATGACCTTGACAGCTTCCCCCTTCTTAAAGAATTTTCTGATAAAATCACTGGTGATATTAGTAAATGTAATTTTTTTAAACTGTGTAATAAACACTGTCAACATTTAGAAGGTCTGCATAACTCACTGAATCAATATGTTCCAAATACTGACCAATGTGTGATGTTACAAATTCAGACATGGGGAAAAGAACCAGTCAATATGCAAAAGAGACAAATGGATTTTAATGTAAAAGAAAATAAAAAGTTCACATATGTGGTTTCTGATTCCACAGTGCAACTAACCTTTAAGAAACTACCACTTATCAAGTTTTAGTGTAATATCAAAGAACATCCACTTCAATTTGAATTTCAAACAATATGGCTTTATTTCTAAAGTACATTGTTATTATTCAGAAATGTTTATTCCTCACCTATAATTATTACTCTTGCTTTAATCACATTTTTACTGTTTCTCTCCAAATACTGAACACACAACTTTATTTTCCTCCATCATAAATCAAAGGACAATTAGCCACAATTATCTGAAAAGGCCTTTTATTCAACTATTCCTTCCTTTTCTAAATATATATCTATGTGAGCCCATATTGTAGTCATATATTTTAACAACACGAATACTCATAAAAACATATATGTATGTACGTATAACATATGTGTGTACTATATACAATATGTATACTGATGTATGTATGACAGTTTGAACTCAGAAGCAGATAAGAGAATCTAGCTGTCTTCCATTAAGCCAGACATTAAAGAGATTTGCAAAAATTTAATAAATCATGCCACCTTCTAAATATTTTTGACAAT